ATTGAGCCCTTTCGGGGTCATTGTATATAATGTGAATATCCACTTTGACTCATTCTGGGAGATGTTTCGGGGGAGATTAGTACCCCTCCAGTGTTTCTCAACTTTGTCTATCCCAACAATTTTTAAATGTTTAGGGTCACGATTGTGAAGCATTTTAAAGTGTCTCGAAAGACTGTGTTTGTTGAAACCTTTTTTGATGTTATTGATATGCTCCTCAAGTCTTTTTTTAAGTTGTCTGGTGGTTCTACCAATATATTGTAGTCCACACGGACATTCCAGTAAGTAGGTGACATACTTGCTATGGCATGAGATGAACTTTCTAATTTCATCATTCTTATTAGTAGCATTGGACCTGAAGATCCTTAATTTCGGCCTAAAATATGCCCCAATAAGCAATCTAAATACATTTGAAACATTTTTAAATGAATTAGGAAAATCAATATTAAAAAGTATTATTCCTCCCTACCAGAGGTACCCAAGAATACCAACCTCCCTATTAAGAGGAAATTATATATATATATATACACCCCTAAAAATTCAATCCATCTTTAACCCTAAACCGTCGGCCAATCATTTTGTGGAGTTATTCAAAAACCTTGTAGAAGAGGATTTAAAAACCTTGGAATGTAAAAATGCTCTTAACAAAGCCTTCATAAACCAAGGGATCCTATTACTAGAACAGAGTAAAGATGTAGTAGTTGGACCTGCTGATAAAGATGGAGGGGTAGTGATTATGGATAAAGACTACTATGAGAAAGAAATGAACAATATCACACACACACAAAATACATATAAAAATAAAATAATAAATCCTATCAGTGAATTTAGAAAAGAATTGGAAACAATAATTCAAAAAGCATTCAAAAAATAACTTTTAACATAAGAAAGAAAGAAAGAAAGAAAGAAAGAAAGAAAGAAAGAAAGAAAGAAAGAAAGAATATTTAATACCTTCAGTCAGTTAGTCGGACTCCAATCAGGTATTTTCTGCCTAAAATACATAAAAGCATGGAAGCTCCCCCAGGAAGAACCATAGTTAGTGGGATAAATTCCCGAACTGCGAGATTGGGTGAATACATAGATTGCCACCTACAGCCATTAGTGAATAAAACAAAGGCCTTCCTGAAGGACAGTAAGGATATTCTAAATATCTTGGAAGGCATGGAAATAAATGATGGGCCGGCCACCATTGATGGGCCCTAACCCTAAACTGGAAGGGAATATTTTCATCAAAAAACACTGAACAAAAATGGGAATGTTTTAAAACAATTGTTTGCAACCATACGGCAAAATATATTCCAGTAAGCAATAAGTTTAAAAGGCTAAAAGAAAAATCCATGTGGCTGACATCCAATGTTAAAAAAGCCATAAATAAT